AATGTATCATATCAAAATATATCAAATTTTAGAAGTTTAGCTCGAATATATAGTTAAAACTAGTGGAGACAGACTTTTCATGAATTTCCTGATATTAAAAATTATTAGGAAAAATGTTGTCACTTTTTAAATGTTATATTTAAAAAGTGACCATTATATTTTTTAATTAGGCACGAAATGAAATGTATCCTTAACTTCTATTATATAAGTTGTAGTTATGATAGTTAGTAGTCATCATTGTTAATATAATTATTTGACTTAAGCATGAAATGTATTAATTAACTATTTGAGTGTGCTCTCTCTTATGTTGCGATGCCCCAGTGGGGTGCTACATGCCTAAGGGACAAATTAAATGTATTCTAGATCTAAGGAAACCATGTAGAAATGCAATAAATAAATATGAAATATGAAATGTCGTTTTTTATGTGTTAAAACGTCGTAAATATGATAAGTAATATAAAAAGTTTGCTTACAAATGATGGATCTACATAGAAACAGTGTATTTTTTTAAATTCTCTGTATTCAAATGTAACTTGTCCCACCTGTCACAAAATGGCGTCCCAATCGTCACAATTTAACACATCAAATGTTAAACTCTGAAATTAAAATAACTGTTATACCTAGTAAACATCGTAAAAACTCGAATCCATGAAAATACAAACATTTACTCTAAGTAAAAACGTTTAGAAGTGTGTTCCACCCCTCGCTGTGACGGGTGGGACACACTTTCAAATCTTTATATTTACATTCCTATTTACGTGCGCAATGCCCAACCAAGCCAAAATAATGACCCTTAACATAATTGTTACTTTTACAAAAGCAAACGCCAATATATTGCATATTTATTGGTTAAAATAAAAATATATATGTTTTATTGTGACGAGTGGGACTTGATATACTTATTGAAACTTTAATAACTCCTCCCCATATAGGTATATACTTCCATGCAATCACTTACCACTGTTTTAAAATTCGTAAATTGTATTTTCTTCGACAGTAATAACTTTTTAGAAAGACGCACAAATAACCGCGAAAATTGTTGCTAACATTATAGCAAAAAATGCTTCACTATAGACGACAGCACTATAGCTGCTTTAATGAAGACAAAAAATACAATATTGTACAATGTCTGAAAAATCTCATTTATTTGTAATGATTTGATTTATTGGGCGTATTCTAGTCGTACAATTAAAACAAAATTGTGTAATTTTTTTTTGACCACGGTGTCATTGTCGCTGGAATGGCCCATTTATATTAATAGTACTTTCCCTCTGTATGCCATAGCCGTGAGACGCCCTGTATAGTAATTGCGCGTAATTAAAGTACGCTAATGGCCTGTTAATTGATTATAATTAAACATAACTTTTGAATGGAAATGGAAAGGAATGAAATCGAAAGTGCGTGAAATACAAGAAACTGGATTCATCTCCTACTCAGCCATCCCTAGAAGTGGAATATTTCTTCAAATTTGAATGCACCCCTATTGAGGTAGCCTCTTTCCAGCAAAAAAAAAAGAATTATCAAAATAGGTTAACAACTGTCGAAGAAATCGCGTAAAATACACATAAAAAATATTGTCGAATTGAGAACCTCGACCTTTTTTTGAAGTCGATTGAAAATGAGTTTTGTTCTGTAGTTCAGTAACTGTGTTTACGCTTGTGCTGTCACTTTAAATCCTGAATACTTTAGATTGGACATCAGTTGTCCCTTCATTGACTCTTCGTCCATATTGCAAGAGTCTCATTGGTTTGCCTAAGCAACTAAGTAGGCCGTGCATTGCTGCGTGTCTTCTACAGAGGTTTAAAGATTTTATTTCTCATTAAGAATTTTCATTCGCTTGGGTTGGGTATAAAAATTATTGTACATTAAGTGGGTAGTTGCTTATGTAAACGTGAGTTAGTTGGTTGAATCGCTAACATGAATATTGCTATACACAATTAACAAAGATATATAGAACGGTCAAAAGTAGAAGCGACATGCAAGTAGTTTAATTAGGACGAAACGTTTGGTACTTTATATTATTATTTATAATGATTTGTTTATTTGATATATATATATAATATATACAGCGGTGGTTGTATAATTAGAAACACTACAAAAGGTCCTTGACATGATGTAAGAACTTCACCGCAATCGTTTTTATTTTGAAATTAAACAATGAATAGGACAACAATAGGTTCAACGATTTATTGTTTATTAGAAAAACAATATAAATCCCACTACACAAGTGCAGTTTCAATATTACATTACGGACAAACACTTAAATCAGTTTTAAGGTATAAACAATAATAGACAACAAATTAGAAACAACAACAAAAAAGTGTAAAAAAAACAACATTTCTTTAATTATTAGCAATTAGTATTTTTATTTACGAAATAGCTACTATCCATAGCCTACCAATATTTACAATTAATATTTAGTGGCGTATCCCTTATTTTCAATAACAGCTCTGCAACGACGTGACATTGATTCAATCAATGTCATACATTTTTCTATTGGCCGTGTGTTTAGGATCATTGTCATGCTGAAAGATCCAGGTTAACAGGCAAATGATCGTCTGAGTAGGGAATCATTGTGTCCTCTAAGATATTTTTGTACTGCCATTGATCCATTGTACATTCAATCTTCCGAACGGGACCAACTCCACATCCGGAAAAACACCCCCAAACTTTAATGTTTCCGCCACCGTGCTTGACTATGCTCCTTGTGTATTTATAATTAAAAGCATTGTTTACAGGATGTCTAACATAGCGCTTTCCATCTGAATGGTAAATGTTTATTTTCGTTTCATCTGAAAATAAAACTTTTACCAGTCTCGTACCGTCCAATTAACATATGTATTTTTTTGCGAATAATAATCGCTTCTCTCGATGTTGCTTGGTAAGAAGCGGTACCTTACGAGAGGTTCTTCCAAACAATTTAGCTTCCACTAATCTTCGGCGTATCAGTCTTGATGAGACGTCTGGGGTCATTAGGCGAAAAAACTTCATTTTTAATCTGGTTTGAGTCTTTAAATGGGTCTTTTTTAGCAACACTAACGATTAGCTTATCTTCTCTGGGAGAGGTTTTTCTTGGCCGAGCCTTTTCAAGAGAACATTTTCAACAGTTCCACCATGTGTTTTAAAGTGATTATTGCATTAAAAACTTTCTTCACAGAACAATTTAAATGCTCAGCTATTCTTCTGTACACTTACAACTTACACTTTTGATCTAAATGTAAATTAACAATTATTTGCCTAGTTGACGCGTCACAACTTTTATTTTTGCCCATTGTGAACAAAATTAAATTTAGATCAAATTTTGAATTGCTGCCAAATTAATAGAAAACATCAAGAAAGAAATGTTATTCTTCAATTTCAAAAAAAGAACGAGTTATAGATGCTTTTTTCAAATGTTTCTAATTACACATACAAACGGCCAAGAACCGCAAAAATACTCACTCGTACATTGTGTATGACTCATTTTACAATTAAAAGTAAGATATTATTATGTTTTATTTTTTATGCATTTAATGATTTTTTATTTGAGTGGCTATATTATTGCATGATTATTTATTATTGAATTTATATATTTTTCACGAACATTTGTACGTTGAAGTTAAACTTCCTTCAATCATAAGAAGTGTTTCTAATTAAACGACCACCACTGATTTTTTTTTCTTTTTGTTTTGTTCGTTGTATTAATTTTTTTTCCGTAGTTTGTACGTGCAGGGCGTATTTTAAGTTCTTGGTGAAGTCTTGGTCTCAACTTTGATATTTACTTAGTTTTGCTAATAGTTATTTCAGTATGTATAGTTTTATTTAAGTTTGATATTTGTATGTTTGCCTAATATTCAATAACTTGGTATCTTTCTATATTTTATTTGTTGATGTTAAATAATCATAATTAAAAAGAACTTTAATCAGTTTGTTTTGTGCAGTCTGAATAGAATAAGGATTAGTTTTTGCTGCCGTGCCCCAAACCTCAATGAGATAGTCTATGTGAGGTTTAACAAGGGAATTATATATTTTATATCTAATTTTGTGTGGGAGACATTTGAAGATACTTCGAAGTGTTCCCGTCAGAGATGTCAATTAAGATTTTATTTTATTAATGTTGTTTAAATCTCATACAATTATCTAGTACCAGACCAAGGTATTTTTCACTGTTATTTTTTGAGATTGATTATTTGTTTTTAGAGGATCGTAGTTGATATCTTTTTAGTTTTAGCTGTAAAGATCAGGTAACTTCTTTTTAAAGTATTTATAGTCAATATATTGCTTTGGAACCAAGCATTCACATCCTTAGATCATTTTGAGCGTCATATATTACATCATCTACTGAATGTCCGAAATAAAAAACACTTGTATCGTCAGCAGACAATGTTATATCACCCTTTAATCCTATTTCTTTGATGCTGTTTATGTAAACAAGGAATAGCAATGGTCCTACTATCGAACCTTGAGGCACGCCGAAGGTAATCATTTGTGGTTCGCTTTGCGCTGATCCAATATTAACTACCTGATAACGGTTTGATAAATACGATTTAAAAATGTCTAGGGCCGGTCTGGTAATACCTACGCACGTCAGTTTTTTTTAACAATAATTCATTGGTCTACCATACTCAAATATCCACCTTGGTCATAGATAGACATGGTCGTTTAAGATTGCTAAAGTACGGTAGGTCTAGTAAGGCAGTAGAGTAGAAAAAGATCTCCAGAATCTCCAAGAGGTATACTTATGTTTGTGAAAAATCGTTACTTACAAAGTTAAATTAAGTTTTTAAAGCATTCCTGTATGCTCACAAGCCCTAATTCTTGTAAAATATTCACAGTCAACCAAAAGTCGCTGGTCCTCTATATTTGAAACTATACTAACACATAAGGTTGAATATTGAGATTAAAAATATTTCTAATTGATATAAATTTATTATAACAATCTCAGAAGATCAGTGACTTTCAAGTTGTCTTTGTTGAATATGTACATACATTAAGTTCTTTAACTAGTGGGTGTTACTTACATTTAATGAGTACGACCGAGTCGTGGGGCTCACACTGCACCTGGGTGGCGTTCATGGCCAGCAGCGCCCCGCCGCCCGCCCCGCCACCCGCACTGCTCGTCTCTCTGCACAAGTCATTATTGTCATTAACAAGGGTGTTCGTGTGAGTCTCTATGTTTCTATAGTAACTACATTATAGAGACCTCATTTTGTTGGTAAACTATTTACGATTTTGTATTTTTATTAATTACTTGTACGGAATTTCATAAAAACATAATGTTATAAAGTAAAAACGTGTACAGTAAATATGTAAAGTGTTTGTAAAACCACTTTAAAGTGCGTAATACAAATTACCATTTCTATAAAAACAGAAGCGGTTCTTTTTATTGGATATAAGATTGTGATGCTGTAATCAAAATGTTAGGTTGAATAAATAGAGTCACCAAAAAGGACTTAATATTCTTTGTACCATTTGATACTTTATAAATTCAAGAGAAAATTGAAGATGGATGAAAAACGACCTGAGTCTAGATTGGTTCAAAGTGTATTTCCAAGCAATTCCTAGAGTTCCTTGCTCGTTCTTCTCAGGGAGGTCAGCACAGTGAACGAGCAGTAGCTTCGTTTATAAATATAAAAATTTTACCTATGGAATAAATTATTATTCAACTTTCAACACTTTCATACCTATCTGAACTCGTCATAAAGTGGCCAAACTATAACACAATCTTTAAATATTTATAGTCCTTGAAGCAGAGTGGATGTGAGAAATAATTTAAATACAGATTGGTAGTAAAATAAGCGTAAAACATGAAAGAAGTAAATTTCTCAGTAAATGATAAACAATAAAGAAACAAACATCTACAAATATTCTGAAGGTAAATCTAAAACAAATATTATTTTCATATCAGGATATCAAGTATTCTTATATCACTAACAAAAATATCAACTAAGAGGATGTTTCTAAACAAACATGCAAAAATTTTGATATGGTAATCAGTGCAAAGTATAGTTGTAGTAGTAGTATAGTATCATCTAAAGCTATAAGTTAACATCCAGTGATTTAATGGTAGTAACAACGCAATACAGCAAAGCATGACAGCTTAATACACCTAGAGAAGTACTAAAAGTGCAGTTTGTATGTCAGGCAAAAAGATAATATCTCACGTCGGAGCTGAGATGACTAACTTGAGTTTTTGCAGACTTAATCATATGCTATGCGTAACAAGACTTAATGTTGGACCGGTTTACATTTCAGTAGACAGGTTGTACGGCTGGATTCTGAGGCTAATAAATAACGCTGTTACAAGGCCGATATTATGTAAATGAAGTAAATGAATTCACTATTTTATTCAAGTGGTAGAAAACATTGTTTAAGTACTGTAAGTAAAAGTAAGGATTTACAATAAATTATACATTTAATGTAACTTAGTGACAATAATTTAAACAAAGTTGTATAATATTTTCAACAATAAAGACTTTATTAGGTTATCTACACTTGATTTACAACAAAATGTATTGTGCTTTGTTGGATACATCATTGTTAGTGTCGTATAAAAGTGACTATAATATTTTTAATATTAAATGCATATTCATATGTATGGAAAACCTACACAGTATTAAATCATGTCTGTGATTTGTTAACTTGATGACACCCGCCTTTCCTTTATTTATATGTAATAGCTAGAATTTGTTACGCTTTTGTTATTTATGTTTTTTTATAGCATCAAGTGGCAGGATGAACATGTCGTGCGCCTGATAGTAAGCTACACGCCTTAACAGTTACAGTGCCACTCAGAGCTTTAAATTGCAAAGACCTGAGTGGCACTACCACTGCGCCCATCACCCTGAGTCATAAATTGACAAGTCCCATGTGCCTGTAATTTCACCAGGACCCTTGCCCCCTTCTAAACCAGAACACAGTAATGCTGACATTACTGTTTGGCGGCAGAAATAGGTAAGGTGGCAAAGGGGTACTACCCTGGCTGAACTCTTTTTTTCTTCCTTGTATGTATTATAATATGAATGCTAAATGTTTAATAATAAAAGAGATTATTTATAACAGCATGTCAACTCCAATAATTCATTTACTGCATTTTTCATGCAGCATACCAAAATGTGTAGGATGTTTATTGCATGCAAAGTAAATTATAATGTAACTAACTTTTAAATGCATTTATGAAGTGACTAAACAAGCAAAGTTGAAGTATTTTTGTATGTAGCTATAATTTCATTTAAACAGTAAGTAATCTGTTACATTTACAGTGTTCCAGAATGTACATTATTACAGAATGACAGCTATTACTATTATGACTAGCTAAGTCCAGTTGGTATAGCGTCTAGCTAACCATGCCAGACACTATACCAACAAAGCCACGGAACGAACTTTTCTTGTTAACAGAGGATTTTCTAGTTTGAGATCTAGCTAGAGATTGATGTGAATATTGGACATATTATTATTTCTTCAATGTGTAAAGCTCCATAAACACATGCAGTGAACCCAAAAGAGTTAGGGTGCCTTACATGCAGATAAACACAAATTTATTAAGAGAGAATAATGATACTTTACATCAACGAATGGAATAATTTATTTCATATTGTCAAGGGATAATAAGGTTGTTACTTAACATAAACAATAATACAAAATAAAATAGTGCAACTAAAAAAATAAACAAAGTAAAACAAAGTATTGTTAAAATACATACAACAATAAAACATATTTATATAAATTGACTTCTATGTAAATCTGTCATAAGCCACAAAAACAGGCGCAATTTTTCGTAAATCACTTTTTTTTATTATATCAGCAGTGAAATTATAAAGCATTAAAACTAATGAGTATGTATCAAATTTATTGCAATACCTCGAGAATTGCAGATGCTCATTTTAGTCCTTTTGCTACATTAAAATGTTCCTCTATTGACACTGAGCAGCTGACACTATGCTAACTTAAAAACTTTTCACCATAACTTATAAAAGGAAAACTTGAAATTACTTTAATTTACAAACACAACTGTTAATGAATTCTGTACAAGATATTCATCATAGATAAAATATATGATTATTACTTTATAGTTTCTTAATTTTGAATTCAATTTAAATTAGCTGAATAATCTGCACTAAAAATGGAAAATAGACAAAACTTGAGTTAGCATAGTGTTAATTGCTAGTGTCGCTATTAAGTTATGAATTTACAGTTCTTTATGTAGGATGGATCGAAATATATTGTCTTGATAAAATGTAAACTTTCTATTAACCATGGTTTAGAACAAATAATATCAACTTTTTTAAGACCACCCAGATTGGGACCTACGCTTTAACATAATTTTAACCCCTCACACAAATAAATTACATTTGGACCACTCAGAATAGAACTGATAAACCACAGTGGAAACAGCTGCACGTTTTGTGGTACATTTTATTATCAGACCACATGGTCCCTGTGTTTTTATCTATTTCTATTTTTATTGAGGGAAGTGATGCTTGTTTATAAGCCTTTTATTTTATTTGGTTTTAGAGGTGGGGTGTTAGCTATTTGAGATACCTATTTTTGTTTTTACATAATTGTTGTAGGAACTTATTATAGGGTTAAATAATTTTTTTGAAAAAGCTTAAAAGCAACAAAAGAGTTTTATATGAAGATTCTTATTATTCTAAAGTTCATTTATTTATTTTAGACAAAATTATGAGACTAGGATTGTGTAATGTAATTTTATTGCATGATCTTCACAAGTAAACTTAATACTTCAAGTGAAAATTGTTTGATTTTCTAGACCATTTAACAATATCGCTCAAAAATTGTTGAAGTTGTCATTAGATATAATGCATTTCACCTAAATGGATTATTGATATATAAAAGTTTAGTCAAATCAACTGCGTTATCTAATTTATTGAATCCTACGTAAAATCTGATCACTTGCAACACATCTAAGAGTTACAGAATTAATACTGAACAAAGTTACCACACCAAAAATGCGCTATTGGAATCATAGAACTTTATTACCGATAATGGTAATTAAGAGACTTTCACAGGAATTTTGTGTAAATAAAAAAATAACTTGGGAAAGCTTTATCAATGCAGGTGAACTTCAATCTATGTTAGCTTGTTAACAACAAGTAACAAATCTTGTAATTGCTGCAATCAAGTATCCAATGTCCTAATTACATCACAATAAAAGTAATGGCCGAAGATGTGGACACGTATTGACCTGCCATCTGACACAGAGCAAGCTTCACATTTTTAGGTCAAAGTACGTTGAACTTGAGCGCTTTACTCACCGTAAAATGCTTATTGCCGGCACTTGCTTCCTAATGGAATGCGTGCAGGGAGGCAGGCATTCGCTAGGAAAGCATTACCAAGTTTTATGCACGTTGCGAAAGTTTCCTCCACGGAAACCTGCCACGACAACAATCACTGGTCACACTGCTGCCTTTAAAACAACGTACTTGAGAATCAAACACCACCATCCATGTATAAATCCACTGCTTTACAGACAAAAGGCACTGCTAATGCAACCAACACCTCCAGTCATAACGACACTTTGTTTGGTTCGTCACAGGTATACCGCGATTCAGTTTATTAACCACGTCGACTTGAAATGATATTCACATTCACACGCGTACATAAACAAAGTCATTGTTGTTTACAAAAAGTAGATTTTAAATATAAAAGAAACGTCCTGCGCGCCGCAAAATCCGAAAAACACAAGACGCGCATCTGTCGCCTCTCGCTCGACTGCGGGTGTGGGGGCGGGTACAAGGCGGAGGGGCAGCGCCGTCTACCGCGCCCTCTACCCTTCCTCGTCTCGCAAGTCATTTCATTATTACGTTACGTTCATTTTATTTTATTTTCAAAGCGGTGCGATCGCGGTTCAACTGCAGACATTAACGAATGCACGTTGCACTTTCTGCTTGCGGGCTTGCGGTGTAAGTAAATACAAAATGTATCATAAAATGTAGTAGTATCTGTTAAGCATCTATGTACTTTCATAGCAGTAAGCAGTTAGGAGTAGTTTTATATGCCAGATCGAATTAGTAGGTTAAGGGTAGGTTAATTTTATTATGAAAGTTTAAACACGGTAGGTATATTATTTATTTGAATACCTACTTTCTAATCACCAATTTATTTTATTTATTATCTTGTTGCATGATGAAGTATACCGAAGATAATGTGTACTTAGGTTGAAAAAACCACTCGCTAAAAGAAATTTTAAAGAATATATGTTTACGTACATCAGCATTAGAAAATATCCAGTAAATAAGTATGTAATGCGATGGATAATCGGCGCAGCATGCATCGGCACCGCACCTTTCAACCACTCTCAACTCAATTCACATAACATAACGAGGCGGCCGACAATACTCGACTACGTTCACCCACCGATCACTGAAGTGGACGAACGGGTCGGCTGGAACGCGGCATGCGCCAATGGAAATATAAACAAGCAGCTGGTTGGTTGATGAAAGCACGCGCGCCGGTGGTTGGCCTTCGACAGAAATCTGTAACCACGAGTAGAGGCACCCTACATATTTTTGAAAAAATTAAAAATAAAATAATTTCACAATTTCGCACGGCATACTTTCGTCCAATTTTCGAGAAAGTGATCCTTCATTGTCGATCTATCAAGGGCCCGGTAACACCGCGGGTTTCTCTCGCAACCCTTAATTACAGGCAATTTACGGCAGATGAGTAAATGCCTGAAATTCTGGGTTGTAGAGAAAGTGAAGTGTTAATGCGACAACTTGATCATAGTGCTTGTTCCTTTCTAGTCGCGAACCGGGAAGGTGTTCCGCGAACTTTGTCTCTGACCTCACTAAACAGTTTTACAACGTAATTGGCTATTAAATTAGTCGTGAGATATCGCATTCACCTGTGTGCGAGTCGTGTTTCACTGGCAGTTAGAAGCAGAGCATCTGCTTCTGTTTTTGCTCGCTAACAATATACTTTACCCCAATTCATGGAACGGAAGTAGGGTGCGGGCTGGGTGCGTCCTTGAGCACAGCTAGTCAATTGGGACCGGAAATTTCTATCCCGCTTTTTATTTGTTTTGGACAATTCGATCGATGCAGTAATGAAGTGCTACAATATAGCTAAACGATGCAATGACTGTGTGAGACTCTCACTGGGAGAAAACAAACTTAATGTTACAATAAACATCGTCAACATTAAAATATATCGGTATTTTGTTAACAACAATAATTATACAGTTGAAACGGATATCCTTTCCATTTCAGTTCAAGGATAAATGCAAATCTAGTATTAGCTTTGTAATATTTCGCCTTTGTCAAAATGTCCAACTATGTATTGTAACCAGTACATTCCATTACATAAAATCGTGTTAGGTAAGTCTTAAAGACTCTGATAGACATCTGACACGTATTAAATTGATTTAAAAATGGAGTATACCTACTGGTGATATTTAAATAATGTCCTAATTTATCAGCTAATGTCATTTTATGTTTCATTCACAAAACCATATTATTAATTTGTAATAGTGGAAAAATAATGCTTGTTCCAGCTGTTACAATAGCAACTGTTTATTATTACACGACTTAGATGTGTGAAATTGTTTTTTTTTTTTATGATACCAAGTGATGGGATGAACAAGTTATGCGCCTGTCCATAGGAGTTGCAGTGTCACTTAGAATTTTAAATCGCAAAGATCTGAGGGGTACTGCCACTGCGCTCGTCACCCTAAGACAAGTTGACAAGTACTATGTGCCTCCAATTCACCAGCACCCTTGCTCTTCAAAAAACGGGTCGTAGTAATGCTCACATTACTGCTTGGTGGCAAAATAGGTATGGTGGTAGTACTTCTCTGGATGAACTCGTTCGCAAGGAGCTCTACTGCTATTAAAATTTAAGTTGCAGAAAGGTGTAACGAGGACTTCCAGTTACGCTGTATTTCCTCGTTCCGGGAAAAAGTATAATAAAGACTCGGTGCATCCCAGAAAATCCTAGGAAAAACGAGACCTCGACCTTGTATCAAAAGGTAACCAATCCATACATACAGGTTAGTCATTCAGACAGTCCAAACATGAAATTATAATGATTATAACTGATTCTTCTCTAATAAAATTATAAAATGAAAAAAAAAATTACGAAAATATTTTTTTTTCATTTTCATCGTGGGTATGTAATAATTAAATAAAGGGCGTTTAATTCTCTATCTAATTTTGTTACTACCGTTCTTCAATGTCCGGAGATTTATACAAAGGTATTTTTTTATTGGTTATACTATAAGGTCCACTCTACAGTGTGGCCTTGTCCACCATGTAACCAGAATAAAAAAATGACCGTTGTTAGTGGTAAAAGTTTTCGTCTTTCGGAAGTGTCTAATTGGCCATTCTGCCAAATCTTAGATTTTAATTTTTGTTCAATATCTTAATTGACTTAAAAATAAACTGCCTCTGTCGCCAAACGTTTACTATGCCACGCAGAGGTCCCAGGTTCGATTCTCGGACCGGGAGAAATAATTGTATGGCCTAAATTTATTTCACTCGTGAGTTTGGGTGTAATTTGTGGTTGTCTATGTGTGTGTCCATTGCACTCGCGACACAGGGTTTCCCTAGTGCGGGACTATGTTGAGTGTGTGCGTTATTTATTATTATTATAATTTTCTGACATTTTTTCACTCGTGTCTCGAAAACGCCAAAAATTGGTTGAGACTCAACATTTTCAAGATCTAGATTCCTGGGGTGAGAGGTCATGTAGTGCATTTTATTTGTGCATAAGCGAACATTATATTTGTATTTATCTTGGTAAATGAGTAGGCGAGGTAATCTTTTTCAAGCTTTTCAAGAAAGGATTTTATCTAAAAATAATCTTCAAATAAGAGTTACCTACCCCGTCCCTGTATACTTTACTGCTTATAAGTGTATTTAGGAAGCATGTAATTGAGTGGCATTTGAAGTTATTTATACTCATTTATAGAAGCTTAAAGTCACATAGCGCTTGTAGCAGATGCTTAAAATATCGCACCGACAATTTCCCCCGGTTTACATCGCCGACTACCAGTGCTGGTTGGTTTCCATGACAAATACATTACGTTAGACAGCCCATCAAAGTCTTGAATGCAACTAACAAAAATTGTATTATTATGATGTCTTTTTGCACGAACTTTGAAATTTTCGGCTTTGCATTTGTTATTAATTTAGCAATTTTCTTGCTAAAGATCTTAGGAATATGAAGTCACTCTAGTAAACTTGACGATTTCAAGTGTAATTTGTTTACCTACGCAATAAAAGAATTGTTTGTGTGCGTGTGCGAGGGAATTCATGAACGATTTTATTCCACCTTCCCCTTCATGTTATCGGGGGACTAGACGTATCCCTCTGTTGTGGATATTCCAAGCGTTTCACTTCCATATTTATATGGCGAACGGCTATGGATTGGAACTCCCTGCAGACTTATTCCCTAAACGGTGTAACTTGGGCCTTTCTAAGGCGAGAGTGAATAGGCATTATTTAGGTGTGCATACTCCATCGTCGACCTCAGCGTCACTTTCCATCAGGTGAGATGGAGGTCAAATGCGCGATCAACAGTATTTTGGTTTGGAAAACAGACATGTGTAGTTAGACCAAGATCGGGAAAGAAATAAAATAGTTCAAATACTAATCGTATAAAAAAAAAATCAACTCTACATTTACATAATGCATTTGCAAACAAAAACTATTTCTGCGTGTTTCTATTTTTCCTTTAAAATAATTGATAAGAATCAGGTTTTTTTTCTAATAAGACTTTTCCAAATGTTTATCGCAGGTTTACTTAAGTAATTGCTTTTATGTAAATATTTGTAGAATGGTTTTGTACGTTCACGTAAAGAAATAATGAAGATTTAATGACGTGCTGATGTACAACATTGTTTGAACATTAAGAAAATTGAAAACAGTTCCCGGAGGATAAATCATTCAACCAATTAAGTTCACATTAGCGAATTGAAAGGTTTCAATGGGGATTGTTGTCCATGTCCATTGTACGGCCCATTTAATCTGCCTCGTGCCTTATCAAATCGTAACGCTAGGGGGCGAGGTCATTGGCCTACGTTTGTTGTCATAAGATAAGTCCATCAACTTTTTTTTAAAGTAAACGTAGAGTTTAGGATGCAAGTAAACCGACTAAGTGCTCTAGGGTTTTGGTTTGTAATTTCGTCGTGGGAATAAAAGATAAAGATAAGTTTAATATTCATTTCACTATTTTTATTAAAAATATCGCATTTGTCCTCCGCCTCACCTGTCGACCCCATCGTCACTTTCGGACGATGGGGTCGACAATGGAGCATGCACACTTATATACATGCACTTGAAATACAGTTTCCAATGACTCTTCTTTTGAATTTGTTTCAATTTGAAATGATTAGTCTTCTTAAAAAATAATTTTATTGATTTCCCGTGGATACTCTTTGTGCCAACAACATTATTTAAACATTTTAAACTTCTAAAATTTATTTTTAAAACCTGCTGAAGAAATTAAGATCCGGAGAGATATAATAGGGGTTAAAGTATGAAATTGCCAATTTGTACTGAAAATCTAAATTGTTTATTTTTTAAATTTTTAACAAATTTATTTAATCAAAATAGTTGCCATTATTATCTATACATTGCTGCCATCTAATGGGAAGGTATTAATGCCTTTGCGATAGAACTCCGACGATCTAGACTGCACAAACTGTGTGAAAGCATTTTGTACTGCCTCCTGGGAAGAAAACTTCTTGTCACGTAGATAATTGTCCAA